TTCCCTATTGATAAAACACCTCGTAGTTCGATCGTGCTCACGTCCTCTCAGGAATCTCTCTCGATCTCATTGTTCGTGGGCAGCAGGGCAGAAAGCGGCGCTTCCGGTTTCAGGTTGAGTTGCACGATGCACGACGGTCAGACGAACGAATGGACAGGCCTGGCTGCATCCTGACTCCCCAGCTCAGGTAAGCACCTGCGCCATGTTGAGCATGATTTAAACAGAGTGGAAGGGAAAGCACGTAACGTCTCATTTCTGCGCGAAATTTCTCGATAGTACCGTGTATCTTTGATCTTATATAATTCTATGCTTAAACAAACAATTGTTAAGATGTTTTCACTCGATTGTACTTTTTTTTTATCGTAAATATTTCGCGATTGCATTCATTCATAATTCATAACGTAAGATTTCACCTGTATAATTAATGCGACGCGCATAATTAATAGCGGACAATGAAGTTCTGAAATGTTAAATCCTCTCGCATGGAGGAGCGAACCGTGACCTGTGCGTGCGCATAACAACGTTATTATTTTTCTTTTTTTAGCGCTTCTGCATGGTACCCGCGGAAAATTGTCGTAGCAACGGAAAGTGAATAAGTCAGCGCGGAACCGGAAGTCGCCGTGGGATCGCGGAGGCCGCTGAAAATAGCGAAATCTTCGTGCTCCCTGGGAACCGCCGATTAGCTACACGCGCGTGTATATTTTTTGCCTGTGTCGTGTGTGCAGGCAATCATCGTGGCACACGCACCACAGAAACGTGACGTGCGAGTGTTGAAAATACAGTAATACGCGGGAGACACAAAACGTTAGACGAATGCGCAGATAAATCCTTTGTGGCTTTTACGACTACGCCACAGAAGTGTCTTTAATCGTGAGAAAATAAAGATCATCTCCTATTCAGCCAATCCATTGAAAGCCGTCGTGTTCTGAATAACAAAACTTGAAATGGAGATTAGAGAGAGAAGTCGAATCATTACGTTATTGCTATGTTTCACATTACACAGACGCAAGTAGAAACGGTTAATAAAGGAGTTACCTGTACACCACTACAAGGTAGGTTGATGACTCATGCTAATCATTGTTATGCTATGAAAAACGTCGACTTTTAACTATTGAGAAAAGTATGAAGCATACTTCGTCTTAACTATTGTAGCTCCACGTCAAAGAATATATAATGAAGTGCTCGAAGGCGCCAAAAATCTAATGAAGCATATTAATCAATGACACATCAGCGGATGCAACATCCACGGTATTTAGACGCTACTTATAGACAAATATTTGGCAAGTATAATTGAAGGATTAACAATGATACGATAATGAGAGGTGACTTTACAGTAATGTATTGGAGCGATGTATATTAGTCTTTTGATTTTTAGGTACCGAATTTGATCTACATCCAGAGACAGTGGGCGATGCTGACGTCACGCTGACCAATGACTTCCTTGGCTCGGAGTCCTTGAAAAATAAATATGGGCACTTTTTGCGGTAGTGATTCAACGTCGCAATTTACCGTTTCGTTCTAAACGATGAGAGAACACTATAATAGTCGTAACGCCAAGACTATTTTACACATCCAATATATTGTATGTTCAAAATCGATAACGCAATTAAATGGATCAAAGAGAACAAAATTTTTTTTTAATTTAAGGAAAAATATATATGCTACTTCCACATTGACAAATATCACAAAACTTATTTAGTAGTATTTAGTAGTAGTAAAAAAAAGTAGAAAAAAATAAACTTTCAAAAAAAACGATATGAAAATTTAAGAAAGTGAAGCGAATTGTGAAGATCTGACACTTTGTTTACGACAGTTGGCTTATGTTAATCATTTTAGACTAAAATGTGTATTTCTTGAAACATCGACTGGTCTTCCTCGTTAACCTTTCTCCATTTTTCTTCAATAACGGACGATTGTTTTAACGGATCATCAATCTTCGATCATCGTCATTGCAAAAGCTAATATTGACTTACAATCAAAATTAGTACCGCATAACAAATATATCGATCACGACGGCTCATTCACGTTCGTAAAGTGACGCTAAAAAAGTGTTCGATATCGCAAAAGCGGATACATTTATTTCGCGAACTGCTGTAAATATCGCTTTTAGTTGATATATTGTGGCAGTCATTCAACACCAACGTCTCTATCCAAAATATTAATAGCGCTAGTCTAAAAAAAATTTGTAATCGAGTATCAATCTCTCTATTAATAGCTAATCTAATTAGCTTTTCAAAAGTGTATCTCATTAAATACATAGTGAAAGATTTTTTTGTGAGCGGCTCCTAGATATTTAATATTATTGTACAATTATTTTGTACAATTTTGTATAATATTATTTTGATGTTTCTTTTAAATAATTCCAAACAAACTATTTGTAGGCTTAGTACAGCTTCTAGATCAATATTTTGTAATATCAAATATTGCAATAACATTGATTATCTAAGTCTACAGGCCGCTTTTGCATTTCATACGAAAGTCATACAAAAGTTTTGCTATTTGTATGTTATAAATACATTAATAAAAAGGCATCGCACTAACGTTCCGGCAGATAAAACATCTCTATGTTGGTTGATTGGGTTAATGTAATTCTTTTGTTGCGTTTCATTGAGTAATCAATGAATAGAGCTTTTATATAATGCGGCACACATAAAAGCAATGTTTATTCCATCAGCAAAAATATACCGTACGTCGTATCGCTGTCTTATAACCGCAAACTATTTCAGTATACGCTCGTATAAAGCTAGTATATGTAATTATTAAGGCTTATACTTGTCTTGGCATCGAATGACATAGCACGATAGGATTTCCGGGAAACTATTATTTTTAGTTCGGCCTGTAATCAAGCCGTGTATTACAGAACGGATACTGAGACAACGATATCGAGATCACGCAACATGGCTTCAAGTTTTCGAACAAAGACGAAATTGTTAAACGTCAAGTGGTCCATTTTCGCGCTGTGTATGAATAAAACAGGTGTTCCTCAATAATTTATTTTGCAAACTGACGCAATATGTAGCACTTAGTTATATGTTTCTATCTATTCCATTATGCAATAATTGTACAGACGTTGACGGTAAAGATCTCATGAGGCGCCAAATATCAGTTTCAAAAGCACATGGATTGTATAATTTACTGTCTTTGCATTTTACGGATTTTTTTCTACAATTTCGAATCAATGGAATCGAGATCCATGCGCTCTCGTTGCACTTGCGATAAGTAACGATACGATTTTTCCGTTGAAATCAGCGAACGTGCTTTTAACGCATCCACGAATCGAGAATACTTAGCGAAAAATATAAAAGCCGCGATTTATGGAAGCTCGCTGGTAGCGGGATTCGATACATGTCGTCAGTCATCGCGACGTCGAGCGTTGGTAGCAAAATGCATCTGGACGATCGCCAAATTCAAAAATAAATCGAAATTCAAAGGAATCGCCCGATCGTCAGGGGCTTACTCTGTTCGTTGATCGTTTTGCAACGGCAGTAACGTATAGTCAATTTATGAAACACTGAGACGACGAGGATATCCGCTTCCATGGAGTTTAGATATATGCTCTCAGACCTCGGCTAACAGGAGATCTTTAGATGTTTATTTCTTTATGCAATAATCTTTTCCTTCTATGAATATACTAAAAAATATGTTGGAGCCGCACAATTATCGTCCAGTGATTCACAAAATCGATTTTCAGGCTCGTCAGGAGGCTCATCTGGAGGGGACGACGCGCGGCACGTGGTGTTGCGGTTAATCTCAAGATTTCTCTCGAATTTCGAGAGTAGCCCCCGTATTTATGAGGTTGACGCAACCGTCTCTCGTCACGCTCGGCAAAACGAAAATGAAAATTAATTTAGAGCAGAAGATTCGTATTTTTATACTCGCCATACGATTACTTTTGTTTTGGAGCGCTATCCGTATCAATAATCCGTATCAAGCCGATCTTCTTAAAGATCGATTGCGATTCTTACAAATCTCTCCGGCTAGTGGGTACATGGTACAGACGAGATGCTCCTAGTGAGAGTAAGCGCTCGAACTGCCAGCGAATGGGGGGTCAAAGAAAAGAGAAGGGGCAATAGAAGGATAGACGGCCTTTTCAAACCCCTGGGTGACCAGTTTAGTTCTGGTTGGCATCCGAATAGCGACCTGCGTGCTGCACAGGGTCCAGAGATGACACGGTAATCATCCTTCAACCTTCAGCGTTTGGAAATCTGTCTGACTGAACGATTCGATAATACGATAGGAAAATGAATAATAAATGAATAACTCCGCTGCAATGTGCTTTGCTGATCAAAGCGCTTGTCAGAGATCGCATTGGTGTTAGTGCAGTCTTGACGTTTCTGGGAAGCTAAGTTTAATAACTACAGCAATCACTCACGTGCGCTGTTCAGCTGTTGCATGTCAGAGTTAAATAATGTGCTACTCCTGAATCGTAGAATTAAAAAAAAAATTAGAATTGTACCGTGAGAGACGCGTTTGAACTTAGAACCAACGATGACAGCTTAGTTAATGAAGTTGCAGAACAAGTATCTAGGAATACAAAGTAGTGAACGGGTGAACGCTACCGTTCCAATTGCAAATACCATTCGCATGCACGGTATAGCCTCCACGAAAGAATCGCGGCAGCACGCTCGCGTGTCATCGCACTTTTTTTCTAAAATGATATTTAATCGAATCGATAAAATTCGATGATAAAACCATTCAATGCCATACGTAGAAACGTGAAAAGCAAACTCGTTTTTCACGTTCGAAAACGCGTTTTACCGCGGCACACACTTTTGCCTTTCGTTAAATGACTTGAGAAATTGACATACATATTTTCACTATTCCGAATGTGAACTATACGGAAGGTGGAATTGATGGAGACATTCGTATTGACTCGCTTTCGAACAGTATGTTATGAGAACATTTCCTTAAAGCAATATCAATCGTGAGGTGTTTTAAAACTCAAGAAAAATTCGAAAAACGCGTATACTGTTGTCTTCAAAGACAGTCAAAGTGTTAAATGATTTCTATATATTTAAACTCACAATCATTATATTGAAGAGTAACAAAGTCGTTTCTCGGAAACCACGTTACAAATTGAAGTCACGAAGAGCAGATATGGGATCGAGTTCTCGTCGGTACGTGGTCTAAGAATATCGTGGAGTGGATCGTTGAACCAGAGTTTCCTTTCTTCTTTCCACGAAGTGTCGAAGTACTCGGGAGAAATAAATCACATACTTTCTCTGACAACGTTTCGGCTTGACAGTATTCCGTAAACGATGTCGGGCGACACCACATCCGACGATGAGGGATCACAGGAGGATCCACCACGTTACGACATCGATGATTTGGAAATCATCAAGACTATTGGTGAGTTTAATATATTATATTAGTTGAAAATCTGAGAGATTGAGATTATACTATTTTACACATTAAATTGTTTGTCTATCTCTCTCTATAATTTTATTTTAATCATAATTTTTCTTATCTATAATATTTTAGGTCATTATAAATGTAAGGAATAAATCGATACACAATTCTTGCATTGAAATTCTATAAAAATATTCTATCATATTCGTTTTTTAGAGAATTTTATATTTTGCTTATAAATAGCGCGATACAAAAAAAAAGAAACTAAATTTATAAATTGTGTTTTAAAAAATTGATATCTTACAAAATTACAAACATATGAAATTACAATTAGAGAAATTTCTTACGTTAACGGTGCATAAAATTACTATTATATATATGTAGAAAGTTGTTAAATTCCAATATATAATTTGTGAACATTCTATGTATTTATAAAAAATTAAATAAAGAGGAGCAAATTCAGTTTGCAATAATCAAAATATAATATTTTGAATCACAAATTCATATATAAAAAAGTAACGAACGAGACGAAATTAAATTCGTCGCTTTCAAAGTGGAACACCAGAGAGTAAGAGAGTATCCCACTGTATATATTTAACTGCTCGTTAAAGTCAGAATTATGTGAGAGAATGGTTTGGAAAATTGCAGGTGCTTGGCTCGTGAAACTTTCTTTTTCTGCTTTTTATAATTTTAGCCCCAGATGCGTTCGGGCTACTGCCACTCAGTGCAACGAAAATTTTCAAACGTTCTTTTTCACGTTTTCTGAATCCTTAATATCAATTGGACAATCTCGTTTGAGACTGTCGCGCGACATGTCATCTAAATTCGTGTCGGTCGAGTATTTAAAGCGTCTACGCCATCACCGGAAACACTTCGTCGTTTTACCGTTGACACCTGTTTTGAGCCATCGTTGGCAACGATCTCCTCATTGCTGGTGGACGACATGTATCATACCATCCCCTGCTACGCGGCCAATTTCGTCGCTACTCCATGCGCGAAATGTACTTTCGACACAAGTATATAAGCGCATAAACATATAAAATCTTGTGGCCGCACTGCAATATGATGGTCAATTTCGCTGTTTAATTTGGCCAAGGCTCATTGCATGCCCGTTAATTGGTTGCGGTACGTTAACTCGAATAACCGAGTCACCTGCATTCGTGGGAAAGTCCATTAAATAGATCTCTCTGCGCAATGCATAAAAAGAACGTCGAAAACGTTGGTAATTAATGGTAATTAATGGTAACTTTAATATTAATTGGTTCAGTAGATGACATATTTTGCTAAAAACGCACTTGTACTTAATTATTCGTAAAATAGTGTTATATTGAATTTCGATTATAATATTGATAGTCCAATAATAGAATCATAGAATTTATTCATCAGCTTACGATTTATCTTATTATAAGAACGATTTTTTTGTTTAATAAAATTAATTTATGATAGATAAAAATGATTAAAAGATTATATTATATTATTGTTAAATTGACAATTAACCTTATAATAATAAGATAGAGATCAAATGTAACTCCGCGGTTTGTTCTCTGGCAAAGATAAAAATAGGTATAAATAAAATGTAAAGAAAGAATAACAGAAGTGTCAACGAAACTTTAGAAAGTGTAAATTGGAAACGTAAAAGATCGTTTATTTTTTAAAATGCTTTTTTACATTATGCTGTTCCAATTTAAGCTTCATTGAAGATTCGTTTACACATTATTTTTCTTCCTTGACTTACGCTCCGATTTTCATTCCGATTTTCAGTTTCAGAGTCAAAGCGTTTTTTGTTTTACTGCAATTATTCAAAATCAGTTGGTAAACTTGTGTATTTTTTTTTTACTTAACTGGAAATCGTGAGATTCACTTAAAAATATTATCATCTTTAACCTATATATTTGATGATTTTCTATTTATTTGGGGAATTATTATAATATAAAATAATCCTGATTAATAATTCTAATTTATTAGTATTTTTAAAGTTGCGTATAAATCTTAATTAATACATAATAATAAATGTTTAAATATGATTTTTTTAAGGCACAGGCACTTTCGGCAGAGTAGTTCTCTGCAGTCATCATGGAACGCCTCTTGCATTAAAAATCCTCTCCATGGTCGACGTGATCAGATTGAAGCAAGTCGAGCACTTGCGCAATGAAATTACAATTCTGAAGGAAGTTAAACACCCTTTCATCGTCAATATGTAAGCATTACATCTGTTATTATATTAAATAGAAAACATTATTTGATAATAGTTGGCAATTATTCCCCGACAATCTCAAGAGTGTTTATTCGCGATATAATCGTCTAAGAGACTGAAGAAAGTGTTGCGTTTCTCGGTCAAGGAAAGGATTCTCGCGGAACAGATTGAAAGCCTGGCTAAGACTAAGCAGATACACGCAAATGCTATTCAACTAGTTTGCGCCACGTCGCAATTAATACCTGGATAGAAACGAGAGAAATCGATCCGCTCGCGAGGTGAACTTTCTTTCAATCGTCGGAGCGAAATCGAGATCTGCTCGCGTAACAGCTTGGATTGCTCGACTTCATCTCGTTTTCTGATATTCGTTTTTTCAGGCTATGGAACGGCAGAGACGAAGCCAGAGTGTATATGTTATTGGAATTCGTCGCCGGCGGAGAGCTCTTCTCTTACCTAAGAGCGGCCGGAAGATTCGCAGGACCCACGAGTTGTTTCTACGCAGCCGAAATAGTTTGCGCTCTAGATTATCTGCACAGCAAACATATAGTTTACAGAGACCTCAAGCCAGAGAATCTTCTCCTTGATAGTCAAGGCCATCTCAAAATCACCGATTTCGGCTTCTCCAAAAAACTTACGGACAGGTGAGTCATTTAAAACAGAAAAAAGGATAACTTGGAAATAAAATATAAATTGATAACAATTGAAGATAAATGGATTAAAGTTTGCTTGTTAATAATAGGGATTGGATAAGTTAATAAAATAATATACTAATATAGTTAATAAAATAATATAATAGTTAATAAATATATACTTATAAATAATATTAACTTATTATTTTGAAATAAATTAAATTAAAGAATATTTCGATGGAAAAATAGTATATAAAAGTAAAATTAACGAGTTTACTTAATAAATATTCTTCAATTTAATGTCATTTTCTATTTCTTTCTTAAAATGTAAATTGTACTGTAAAGTTCAAATTGTATTGATAAGGACTACCTGTTACAATATAAATAAAGATATGCAATATCATGCAATTAGCACATATTACACAATTAACTTCACCTGTTCTTAACGGCGTGTCATAACAAAATATTATGAGACCGTAGTTATAATTAACATGTACATTTTTAGAACATGGACCTTGTGTGGAACGCCAGAATATTTGGCGCCGGAAATAATTCAAAGCAAAGGACACAATAAAGCTGTAGACTGGTGGGCGTTAGGCGTTTTAATTTACGAAATGCTGGCGGGATATCCACCATTCTTCGATGATAACCCTTTCGGGATCTACGAGAAGATTCTCAGCGGTAGGATAGAATGGCCAAAACACATGGATCCTATCGCGAAGGATCTGATCAAGAAATTATTGATCGCTGACAGAACGAAGAGATTGGGAAATATGAGGCAGGGTGCTGAGGACGTGAAGAGGCATCGATGGTTTAAGCTAGTCGAATGGTCCCTGGTAATTTGATAGTCTGCGTAATTTTGCATTGTATACATGCAGACAGAAAAAGTGCCAGAAGCTAAAAAATTAGTATTTAATAGTGTCACCATACATTAAAAAAAAAATTAAATTTTAATAAATATTTGAATATTTTTATTAAAAAGGAACATAACTAATTGATTCTCTTCAATTTTAATAAATTATGGATTTATAAATTTGGATAAGTTCAAATCAATCAAAAATAAAAAATATATTTTTTTCATAAACTTATTAAGATCGAAGGGAGTCAGTTAATTATATTTCCCTCTAAATATTTACTAAATATAAAAATATATTTATTTGATACAAGAAGCAGTTATTTGATTTAATTATTATTTTTTTATTGAATAAATATTTAGTTATAATAATTAAATGTTTACTTACGTTAGTACTATTAAAAAAAAATATATATATATAAGATTTACAATAATGAATTTGATTGGAGATACAGAAAGGATAACGAATCTTAAAACCGTCGTATATCAATGTAAAAATGCATTTAATATAAATGTATATTAAACCGTGAAATACATTTCATCGTGCTATTTCATAAAATATATATTAGTCGTTTTATTATTTAAGATATTTGTATTTTACTTTTACACTTAAATTAGATCAATATACGACTTTAATATGCATCAATGTGCACTAGTATCAGTGCATCCAATCGAATTCGTTATTACAGTAAATTTATTTTTCAATGTATGCGTTTTGTGTCGGAATGTAGTTAAACAATCGATCAATATTCATAGGTGCCGCAAAGAGCCTTGACACCCCCGATAAGGCCACGCGTGAAAACACCGGGGGATGCGAGCTGCTTCGATGATTATCCTGAAACTGACTGGCGTTCCCAACCACCTTTACCACCAGACCAACTAGCTTTATTCCAAGATTTTTGACAGCTAATGTGACGACACCGTTGAATAGTCACAAATATTTTCAATAGAAAAACTCACTTTGTGGTATAAAACAATCACGATCACATTTCGGCGAGATATGTTGATAATAATTAATTTTCCATTTTGTACATAGGTAACTTTTTATATTTCATATATTTGTGTATTACTTATTTATTTATATGTGTTTTAGGCTAGGCATTCCTTCTCGTTGTTTTCGTGAGATTCTGTAAATAAAGGTTGAACAGTAAATTTTAAGTGTTATGTTTTATTTCTCAGAACTTATTTGTTTCTCTTGAAAATGCCCAATGTAGATTAATTTTAATCTTTTTCAATTTACTTTGTATCTTTTTCTAATCCTTAGAATTTAAAAGAATGAAAAGTAAGTTTTTTTAAAGCAAGATTAAAGAGCATAAGAATCATAAACTATGACACTGTGTATAATGCTGTATGAATTTGAAATATGTAATAGAATCGATATATTTGAAATATGTAATAGAATCGATTTGTACTTTTAATCGCACACACAGTCGTCAGAAAATAAATCCGTTTAAAGTACTGCATTTTTCTGATTATCAGATTTGCCATCATGTTTCATTAATTTTACAAAATATAATAAATTATTTAAAATTAACCTTGACACGCTACGTTTACATGTTGATCATAGCAACACAACTTTCTATGAAGCGATAAAATCAACGTGATTCTGATCAAACAATAGTATAAAGCAACATATCGTAGAAGAAGCATTATCAAGCGAATGGTTTTGTGCAAAATATTTTGTAAGCAGTGAATATCAAGAAAATATTGAGAAAACCTCGAATTTTTTTGCATCATGTTATCAAATACTTTGCAACATAAGCGATATAAACTGAAAAAGATTACAGTAAGTCATGTAGAAATCTCGAAAAAGGCGAACGAAGAATTAGTTGAGTATCCTATCGATAATCAGCCAGTAATAAAAAGCAAAAAAGAAATTTTCCACAAGTTATTACAAGAATATCTATATGACAGTTCAGTGCATGGCATGAAGTATTTCAGTAATTTGAAAATAAAATCCAGCATTATCGGAAAACTTTTTTGGACCACAATTATAATTTGTAGTTTTGTGTGTAAGTAACAAATTTATAGTATTGATACAGATATAATATCATTTTGCACTTTTAACCCTAGGAAGCTGAATATGAGTACAACGTATCCTATGCAATTTTTTACATTTTGCTATACATTTTGCTTTTTTATAATATAATTTGAAGATCCGAATTGAGGTGGAAAAAAACTTTAACTGTCCGTAGATATGATAAGTCTGCAACGATATTTTTGCATTATTCTCGATGTGAGAAAGCACAAAAGTTTAAAGAGGGTACTTGAAACTCACTCGTGACTAACTTGTAAGTTTTCGGCGTTCTGGGCATCATATTATTTTTTATTTAATATATGTTTACTGAGTTTCGGATAGTATAAAAATAAATATACAAAAATATAGAACTAAAAAGAATTATATTTCAATGTAATAAATAGTAGAAATTTTATAAAGAAGATGGCTTAATGTAAGGCCAATACGTTTATGTATTTAATTATGTGCAATTAGATTATAATGTATTATAATCAAATATAATCAATCACTAATCTGGTGTTCGTGGTGTATGCCTTTTATCTTTCCGTTTAGAAATTTTATAATTACAGCAGTAAGTGTTGCATCATTCTCTAAACTAAATCCTAATAAATTCAATTATACATATTATAATAATATTTATACATGTACAATTCTTTATCTACTCATATTATTACTTTTTTATATTATTTAATAATAAATAATAAAATTTTATTTATTAATTGTAAACTTAAAATATGTAGATTCTTCAAAAATGTCGATTTTCAATGGTTCAAATAATTATACTCTTTTTTGAGTGATTCATATCGTACTATTTTTTTTTGTTAGTCTAAAGGGTCAATTAAAAAAATCCTACGAGTTTTTGTTTGAACATTAAATTTAGAAATTTGAGAATTTTTTATCCAAAGTAGTCATTTTTTGCGAATTTTTTCAACAAAATTTCTTTGAAGCATCGTAATTAATTAATTGAAAATAAAATATTATTTACTTGATTTATATTTATCTGTCTTTATATAACTTTGAGATATAAATTGCACACGTTTTGAGCTAAAAAATGCGTTCAGTCCAGAAATATAACGTGACAAAGTTGCAGGGTTTCATATACCCTAGTTAAGCCAGGAAGGTAACCAATACTAGAAATGTAAACACGAGCTTCCTTTACATGTAAATGAAGTTCGTGGTTATGAATGAAATTAAGAGTAATGAATGATTTAACTGAAAATTAAGTTACAGTAGTTACTTGAATTAAATGAACGTGTATATTAAATTTCATAAATTTTCATGAAAAATATATTAAATTTAATGTAATGTTATGAAATTAAATTCAAATTGTGTAACTTAAAAGTTAATAAAATTTAAGAACATTTCTAACAATGAAAAATTAGGCCGGCTTGTGAAAGTTAAATCTTTGGCTATGTGTCCGCTATAAAGCTTGCCGCGAAATTCGACTATTATAAGAAACGCGATCATTCTTTTTCGATGAAAGACATACGGATCAAAACAATTGAAAACATCCTTTCTTGATAGCAACAAACATCGAAAATAGCCACAATATATGTTTTATTCCAAAAAGATCGTTTAGTTCATTGACGGATCCACGAGAGAGGAAGGAGGACATTGGGGTCACAATCCTAATTGGAGTTTCCTGTTTTTAAAAAAGTATAATAAAATGTTATATAATATCTTTAACATTTTTGAGATGCTTAATCACAATTTTAATATTCCAAAAATATTAGCAGTGAATCACAACACGGTGATATATATATATATAATAATAATCCTTTACCCTCTGAAGAAAACACCGGTGAAAACCTCAAAAGTAATATATTTCCAAAATATTTTTGAATTTAAGAAACTCTTGAACAAAAAAACATATTTCATTATAATATTCTTTTTTTGTGTTAATAATTTTAAATAAAACGTTTTATGAATTATACATTTAAATAATAATTTTTTAATGTAATAATTGAAATAATAATTTAATATTTTATCTTTTTATATTTAACTTTAAAAAAATCTCACCTGCGACGCGCCAATAATCCTCCTGACAAATTCTGAATTCGCTAATGGTTTCTTAAAAAAAAGTCATTATAAATGACTCGTAATAGCCAAAGAGTCAATAGTAGCTTAATCTTAGTAATTAATTATTAATTACTAATTAACTACATTGCTTAATGTATTGGTCAAATATAAATATTTTTTTAGTCTTAACTCAGATGCTGCATAAATTCTGGGAACATTACAATGCTAATCCAATCCGCAGCATTGTTAAGTCGTTTCACGTCCCAATATTTATGGCCCCCTTCCCAGCTCTTACTATTTGTCCATTAATACCACCGCCAGTTGCAAGACGCAACGTAGTGTTTGCAAGTTTACGTTTACCAAATAATATGTCCTACACTACAGGGAGATTTCTAGTTAGGTACGAATATTTTTTTATTAATAGTATACATAATTTGTAAAAATAAATGATTCTATTTATAAAGAACTTTGCGATGTTTAAGATTTATATTTAATAATAATAGAATATGAAATTTCTTTTAGATATGGGCCCGCTTTTGCGAACGAAAACGCTCCTGGTGGTAAAGATCATATAGATAATTTTAAATTACTATTGAAAACAAACAATTTGTCACTGACAGACTTTATAAAAGCTTTACGACCTTGCGAAGACATATTCGAATCCTGTGCATGGCAAGATGTTGATACGAATTGCAGCGAACTGTTCAAGGTATCTTATACTTTCGCAGGTATATGTTGTTCCTTCAACTATTATCTCGAAGAATCCATAAAAATCGGCAGGTAATTATTATATTATAGTATACAATTACATTTACTTAATTACATATTAATTATTATTATGACAAAATTGTCTTATAACTTAATTTTACTTAAACTAGAGCTACAAAAGTCGATCTTCTCACAACTCCTTTTTACGGACCAAGAACCGGTCTTCAAATTGTTCTAAACCGATCTTTTTTGATCGAGGATGATGACATGGACGAAAAATATATCAAATCTTCAACAAATTCCGTCGGTCTTGTGGTACAAAGTTGATACACATAATGTTAATATTTTTCTATGTGACTAATGTGACACAAATAATTCTATGTTTCATATACGTATTAAAAAAGAGAATTATATTCACACAAATTCTTATCAAAAATATTTGTCTGTCACATTTTTTCAAACAGATATTCAAAAAAGTATTAATATAATTTTTTCTATGAGATATATAGGTGTTTTCTCATCATCCTCTGGAATATGTCGCCACTATAGCTACTAGACAAATTTTACAAAAAGGGCAATATGTTCTTGTAATTATATATTCTTATAAACACAATTTAAATTCTTTTTTCTAATATTTTAAATAAATGTTTGGTGAAACATTTTCCAAATATTTTGCATAAATCCAATTTTGCTTTGATATGATATAGACCTCCGTAAATCCAATTATCAATAAAAAACTCAGTGGGTATTACCATCGAGATTCTACGAGTGGTGAACTGATTCAGAATTGTGCAGATGAAAAAACCAAATTGGACTATTTTCCTACATATGGATATTCTAACTGTTTTACCAGCTGCTCTATCAAGGCTGTTCTCCAAGCTTGTGGTTGTTTGCCACTCTATTACACGCCTATAGCTGAAAAGCATTCATTAAGGGTGACTTTAAAATTTTATAAAATTATTTCTTTAAATTATTATCTTAGCGATAACAAGTTATATAAATAATATATTCTAATACTTGTAGCTATGCGAATGGGAAGATTTCCAGTGCCTTTACGCGAATGCGGACAATATACGGATCATTCAAAATGTTGTTAGAAACAATTTTACATGTGATTGTTTTACGCCATGCCAGAGTGTGCAATACGAGTTACAAACTTCCAGGCTTTTGTTAAATGGTAATAAGAATTACAATCCCGCGTCGTTGTAAGTATAATAAATAATAAAATAACATCGCGCTCCAAACATATCGCGTAATTTAAATATATATGTATATATATATATATATATATTTAAATTGCGTATATATATATATATATATATTTAAATAATGAAAGCAAGGACTCCACCAATTCAAATAAAAAATAATAATAACAGCTGTGAGAGTCAACACAGTTGTTAGTGCGAATATCTTATATTTATTTAGTTTATTAGATAAACCTTGATGTGATTTCGAAGAGCGCAATACAATAGAAAATTGACGTTTCGACTACTCTTTGAGTCATCCTCAGAAAGAATTATCCATAATAACAATTTCTTATTCCGCAATCAATTTCTTTATGTAATATGTAAGTTTCCCAACAATTGGCAGACTATTAGAATCAATTGAAAACCGAATACGAATTGGAGAAACACACACAATACATTGTCAATTATAATTATTTCTTATTATTCATCCTACACTCACCAATCGCAGCACTTCATTACATAAGTAAACTATTTAGATAAAAAAGAAATGACGATCTAAATCGAGCAATAATAAAGTTTACATAAAGTAATTTAAATCAAGTTAGTATTCACTTACAAAGTTAGTATTCACTGACAAACAGTGAATATCAGAAAAACTTAATGTAATAAATCGTATATTTCGGAATTCACAGATCTTTCTTGAGCGATTCAAAAAAAAAGTTGCATAATAATATAGATGAATAATCTTACGATCAGCGAGACATAGTGTGATATTGTTTCGAAGAATGATGCTCCTGTTTTTATGGGAATTGTGTCTAAAGTGAGAAATTCATTGTCACAATATATCGGAAAGTCGTAAAGTAATGAAAGTAAATTGTCAAATTGTTCTCTTTTGTCCATCTTTGTATTAAGTCAATTTAAATATTCATAAGATGATTGAGGTTGAATTTCTATTTACAATATGCGAAAACAGGAGCATCTTACAAATTCTGGTACTATTGAGCGCAAATGTTACAATAGTGACAGACAGATATTAAAGGTATCCAATTGATATTTGTTTATTTGTCTGACGGTTTTTCAATAAGTAACAATAAGAGTCGTCCAGATCCATGTCTTTCTGAGAATTAATGCCTTTGTTTTGTTTTTTAATGTGTAGCATCTCTGAGATAATTCTTTTGTTATAATTATTTTCGATATCTATAATTACTATAAGACTCTCTCTCTCAATCAAAATTGTGATCGCAATTCAATCTATAATCGGAGATGACGAAGAATCTGGAGAAACTCTGCTTAATGTTATTTCTATATTCATTTCATGGTTTCAAGTTGTTCGTTTGTTCTACATCTTGATAATTTGATAGACAACATTTTGGAATTTATTAAGTTTATCTTTGTGTACTTTGATGAAGAAGCTTAATATGTTTAAAATTCTTTTCTTAGCCAATTATGAAGATTGATTAATTAAAAAATGCAGTGACGAAATACGAAACCTTAGGTATATAAGGTACTACAAAATATTTTTTCTTAAATCGATTGCATTGTCCGAGATCACATTGTCAACGCTCTGTGTGTTAATTTCTCATGTATAATTTTTTTAATCTTTTTATTTATGCAATTAAAAAGTTTGTTTAGGAAAATGTTTATAACAAATTCAATATTTTTTGATGGAATCTAGGATGAGAAAGAAAAATGGTTCTATTCACAAGACTGAAAATCGAACCAATTTTATGGGAGGTAGGATCATAGAAAGGAAAGATATATCTGTCGGAGAACGTCTTTTATAGAACCAATCAACAATTATTTTATTATTCTCAACCTTTAATAGTAGATCTAAAAAGCTTAAGCATCTGTCATTTTCAATTTCCAAAATGAATTGTAATCTATTATGAAAGCTGTTAAAAACTACTTTTATGAGAATGTCAATGTGTTCTCTTGGCGCAATCATAATGATGTCATTTACACATCGTTGATAAATTATAGAATTTAAATTCAATGTGTCGAGAGTCTTCTCCTCTAAATCTCGCAATATAATTTCAACTAAAATATTAGGACCTAATTTTAGAAACATTTTTAGGATTAGGATTTAGGACTGCGTATTTTACATTTTTCAATAACGATTAAATATTAAATGTTTTTTAATTTTATACCTTGACTTTAATTGCGTGACATTATATTTATTCAAATTATAAACAAAGATTCATAGTCTTAGAAACTGTTGTGTCAAGACATATATTACACGGATATTCTCGAAAGTTATTATTATTTATTAGTATGATTGTCTACTGCGAAAAAAAATTTTTTTTTGTTTCTAAATATTTTACTTGTACAATAGAGTGCGGCGCTTATGGTGAGTGTAGGATGAATAATAAGAAATAATTATAATTGACAATGTGTTGTGTGTATTTCATATTCGGTTTTCGGATGATTCCAATAGTCTGCCAATTGTTGGAAAACTTACACATTACATAAAGAAATTGATTGCGGAATAAGAAATTGTTATTATGAATAATTCTTTCTGAGGATGACTCAAAGAGTAGTCGAAACGTCAATTTTCTATTATATTTGAAATCACATCAAGGTTTATGTAATAAACTAAATAAATATAAGATATTCGCACTAACAACTGCGTTGACTCCCACAACTATGCTTATTATTATTTTTTATTAGTTTAAATATATATATATATATATATGTGTATATATCATCTTCATCAAAAAGTTCCCGGAATTATGACCAGGTGATACTCTGAATCAGCTGATTTGAGTTCTGTTTTTTTGTTTAGGTTGCCACATCATTGACATTCCTACCAAATTTTATCAGCATAGCTTGACATTTGTAAAAGTTACGCCGTCTTGAGTACATCTACCTCTGCACGTATTTTTGATTTTTTACAGTTTTAAAAATGGAGTTGAATTTGCAACAACGAGTTTATATTAAATTTTGCATTAAAAATGGATTCAATGGTGTGAAAACCTTGGAAATATTGGGAAACTGATTTTTTTCTGTTCGATCGAGTCAAAAAACCATTACAGGGAACGTGTTTTAACAGCCGAAAGGAGATAATGGAAAAATCGAAGACGGCTCTGATGGCTATACCGACAATAGAGTTCCAGAAATGTTTCGAGAGCTGGATCAAGCGCTGGCATAAATGCGTTGCAGTCGATGGGGAGTACTTTGAAGGGGACAATATCACTTTTGATGAATAAAAC